CTGCAAAGCCTCAAAGACTTCACCTTACAACGAGGCTATAACATCCATAAAAACTCAAAACTGTTGTTGATTTATTCTTCTAGTTTATAAAATCCCAAGCCATTAATCCTTACTCAAAATTCAAAAGTATGATAGATAAACTTTCATCATGAAGTTTGTTTAACTAGTTCAGTATCAGAGGAACAGGCTTTGAATTAGAATTAGCAGATCCGGATAAATTTTGAAAAAAATCAAAACTTGTAGCTTTCTCACCTTTCAACACAGCATAAACACCTTCTGCTATTAGGATCAGAAACTAAGAAAAAAGAAAAAATCCAAAGATCACCAAAATAAAATTATTGGGCCATTAGTTCATATTTGGTGGAAGGCAAACATTATCCGCCAACTGTCAACTATCCTCTCCAATTAAATGGAATAAATTTCCCCCCCCCGTCAATGCCTGAAAAGATGCTCATCATCATAGCACAGCCTACACCCAGGTGAGTTCAGGTCTTCAGTTTGTGAAGGGGTAAAAAAATCACGTTAACTGGTATGAACACAAGTGTAAAGATACTATGTCCTTTTCTGACAGCAGGATTTACAGCTGCTCTACTGATATCCTCACGTGTTTGGTAAATTTACAGTAGTTTACCCCTTTGCCTTCACTGAGGTCATCTCATTTTCCTTAAAGGAGGAGAATACGCACACGAACTATTACCACGGTACGCAGCATTTCAGAGGGTCCCTTCCCAGTGTAACCTCACGGCAACTTGTTTGTAGCAGCGGGCCTGAGGACAACAGCAAGTTCACCCCAATGAATCAGGGAGAAATAAATCATGCTTTCAAGTACCTGTATTTTAAATGCACAGCAGGCTCATTTAAACACAGCTGGCAGGGTGCCCCCTTCTCCCTGCCTTACCTCAGCATTCACGTTTCCATAGTCTCAGACAACGCTAGTTAGGACTCTCACCATTATCTTCTGACCTTTCGCTTTTTTTTTTGTCTTTGTAAGTTAATCAGTAACCAGAGACTTCTGCCAACAGTTCCTGCTACTGATTTGAAGGTCCTGTGGCACACAAAGCATTAAGTGATTCTGTATGGGGTTACAAACAGAAGCCATTTATACAAAAAATTCCCT